CAATTAATTTCTTTGTATTTATAGTAGAGACGGGGTCTCACTTTTGCTCCGGCTGGTTTCGAACTCCTGACCTCAAGCAATCCGCCCGCCTCGGCCTCCCAGAGTGCTAGGATTACGGGCATGAGCCACCGCGCCGGCCTTCAGGTCCTTTTAATAAACAAATTTGTTGATAGTTCCAAAGTACAACAGCAGCCAGTGTTTTCAGTTTTGTGCGTTATTTAGCAGATGTTGTTATATGCACTAATTATTATTGTTGTTAATATCTCTGAAAATGAATGATAGCTTATAACTATTTTGACGGAATATTCAGACCGAGGAAATTTGGTGTTACCTTTTCCTGTGAAATGTTACGGTTTGTGCTCAATTGCGGAAAGAGAGTGTAAGTAAGGTACTTACTTACCTTTGGGGGCAGGACGTTGAGAAGGAACTGGAGATCCAGATCAGCATGCGGCAGGAGATGGAGCTGGCCATGAAGATGCTGGAGAAGGACGTGTGTGAGAAGCAGGACGCCCTGGTGTCCCTTCGGCAGCAGCTGGATGACCTCAGGGCTCTCAAGCACGAACTCGCCTTCAAGCTGCAGGTAGGGACACAGGAGGAGGAGGGGGCTCCCCCTGCCCTCTTGTTCTCTAGATTCACACTTTAAATACAAGAGGGAAGGGTCACATCTTGTTTTGATGTTAGCTTCCAGTAAACCACGTTAAGAATCAGACCATCGTAGGATCCCGTTTGCTGTTCTGGAAAGCCATGGCCACTTTCTACATTGTAGTAGGGGATGGGGATCTTTTTTATCCTATAAGATAATTTCTACTCTCCAGCCTAAAATGCCAGCTGAGTTATATATTCTATTAGCTTTGATACTGGAATGTGATAACTCAGGGAACCTTCTGGTAACTGTGATAAGGCTGCATATAACAATACTAATTTTAAACACATTGCTTTTTTTTTTTCCATTTGAGAATTAACTGACATACAAACACATGAGCATTTTGATTTTCCCACTTAGCATTAGATTCGAACAAAAGGCATGCATGATTTATACTTTAATATTTTATGTTGTATGGATCATTTATAATTCATTTCCATAACAGAGTTCAGACTTAGGCGTAAAACAGAAAAGTGAACTAAACAGTCGCTTGGAAGAGAAGACTAATCAGATGGCTGCTACCATCAAGCAACTGGAGCAAAGGTAAAAGTGCTGCTTCTTCAGTGAAGCATTTCGGGCTGTCAGGGCTGGCAATGAAGAGAAAGCGCTATGCTCAGCACATAGAAAGTATATGAAATTCCTTCAGCTTAACATCAGACATGCTGGTAGAAAGAAAGCCAGTTACATTTATTTGTGTCTTCTAAGATATGACTGAAAATGTTTTTAAGAAATGTCAGCTTTTTATGACTGTTTTGAACATCACAACCTGCACTTATCGCATGTCTGTGTTATGTGTTAAGAGAAAGATTACCTAGAAGGGCAAGAGGACTTTTAAGTACATCTTTGTAATTCTGTGTTCTTATTGTTCATCCCCAAAGTTTTTGGATGCTTTGGTGCGAGGTGATGTTGGGATACAGGGAGATAGGTGTCCTCTAAAGAATGTATTCTGGATCTTTCTCTCCCTTCTTTAACTCTTTTCTCTCTCCTGTCTCCTTTTTCTCTCTACTTTCTCCTGAATAGTTCCATAGTTTTCACTGTCACCTCCAGTATGTTTCTCCAGCTCTTTAACCCTTTCCTTTAACCCTTTAACTCTCTTCTTTCACCTTTTTCTCTCTCCTGTCTCCTTTTTCTCTCTGCTTTCCCTCAATAGTTCTGTAGCTTTCACTGTCACCTCCAGTGTGTTTCTCCAGCTCTGACCCTCATCTGGAGACCAGTCTTGGGTTTTCATCCTCTGACCAGCTCCCTTCCACCAGTACCTACAGTTCCGTCTGCCCAAACCACATCTTCTCCCTGTGCTGCTCTCGTTTTCCTGAAACCACCATGTTTTTCCCGGTGACTCAGCAACCAAAAGAAGTGCCTGAGACTCCAAGATTGAATGTAACACCACACCCAAGGTTGTTGGACATTTCCACCTTTAACGCCCACTCATCACCCTTCTTGCACTTGTGTGAAGCCAAACTACTGGTCCTGGGACATGCTTCCCGCTTTCCCCATCCATTCCCACTAGTTCCACCAATTAAAATTGCCCTTCCTCTTCCCACTCCCTGTTCTTCAGATACATTCTTTTACATTCAGGTTCAAATGCCGCCTCCCTAAAGCTTCCTCTGATACCTCTTTCCCAGCTGGAAATGATCTGTCCTTCTTGGAATTCCCATAACCGTATATGTGTATCTGTCTACACTGCTTATGGCACTTCTAACTGTCTGCTTTACCTTGTAGCCCTTCTTCCACGTTTGTTATCTTCTCATGAGAGTGTAAGCTCCTTGCGGTTAATCTTTTTTGTTTCCTCATGGAACCTGTCACAGTGCCTTGAATGTACAAGGCATTCATTCTGTAGACACGTGAATGAATGGATGAATGGGTGACTTATTTTATTCAGATGATTCTTAACCTGGAAGGGTCCTGAACAATAGTGTATATTAATGTTAATTCAAAAGTTAATTGCAAATTAATAAATAAGCCTGAAAGCTCTGATATGGCTGATAAATCAAAAGGTGTCAGTCTACCTAGGAAATAAAGTTATCTAAGTACTTGCTTATAAGCAGTTATACGTTTGTGATTTAACATATCAATTTTAGCACTTATAGTGTTCAAATATATCTAGTTTTCCATGGCTCTTTGACTTGGATTTAAAGCAGGCAGAACTGAAATAATGATATGTTTCTTCGAGTATTAAGCTGACTTAATCTCTTGCTATTTTTGTGTTTCCTGTGTATTCTTTTTTCTCATTCCCCTTTCACTCCATTTTCATTTTTATTTTATTTAGTGAAAAGGATTTGGTGAAACAGGCAAAGACCTTAAATAGTGCAGCAAATAAACTGATCCCAAAACATCATTAGGCATTTTGCACTTGGTCACCTTGCAAGTCTGATATGACATCTTAGTTGTGAAAGGAAGAAATCTGAAAGTTATTATGTTTAAGCTCTGATTCTGTATAAAATGTCACCAAAAATTGACTTTGAATTTGTCAGACTTTTAAAAAAAGCAGTTGGATATATAGGTTGAGTTTTTTTCTTATCGTCTCCCCAGCATTAGAAAGATTGGCATAAATCCCTAATTAAATACTAAATAAACTGGGAAATTATTTCTGAGTTGACCAGTAAATAAAAACACCATTTAAAAAAAAAAGCCTAGGGAACTGAAGCTCTGTTCATATATTAATGATGCCTTTACAACCCATTCCTTGACAATATCAGATTCTAGGTGCATTGTTCATGTCTGTATCTACGAGCCTGTTCTGCCATTGCAGTGTGAGGAACTAGAAGTAACTGCCATGTGAACTTGGACTCCTCTAAAGTAGTTCTTTGTGTCTAGGCCATGACCCCTTTTCACTTTTGTTATATAGGTTTAATCCCCAAACCAAGGATAAGTGCTTAGTATTTCACTACAGTTCTACTCTCAGTAACCAAGATTGCTTGCAACTTTTTGCCTTAGTGACTTTGAAAAAGAAGACAAAAATAGCATCCTTACATTTCTTTAAAGTACATAGAGATAATAAAGTTAGTAATTAGGTAACATATGATAACATAATACTGCGGAAGCTTGGGAAAACCTTCCTAATATTTCTCATCTTCTACCTCTGCCGTTTTTCTGCAATTCTGCTTCCTACTTAGGTAGCTCAGAGAGAACAATTTTAGTACAAACACTCTTCTCCTATTGAAAAAAAATATACTACATATTTTCAAATCTATCCTGCTTTTCCTGTTGGAGTAAAGAGGACAAGGTGTAGACATGAGTGATGATTTCCTGCCTGTCATTCCTTACCTAGAAACCCTGACTTAAGAATTTCTGTTACTTTTTTTAGATGGGGATTTGCTAAATGTTCTGGAAAACTAATAATTTAACTATTAGAAAAACATTTCAAAGTAGGAAATAGATACATGATAACCTTATATTCTTTATTATTATTTAGTATAAAAATAAAGATTCCCAGTAGATATCCACAAGCAATATTAGCAGGGCTTCTTTTTCTAAGTGACTTCAGACCTAACCCTTTCTAGGCTTTGCATTGTAAATAATCCTATAAATACTTTGATTTTTTTTTTAAAATGACTTTTGATTTGGAGAGACAGTCTTTACATAGCCTTCATTCTTTCAAAAGGTCTTGGCATAATACTTGTTTTTTTTTCTTTTTTTTTCATTCTGGTATGCTCTGCAGCATTTCAGCTGCTTTAGGTGGAGACAAAGATAACCCCTTTGCTCCCAGCTCTTGAAATTCTTTACCTTCTTGGCAAAACCAGAATTAAGAGAGTAAGATAGAATTCATGTCTGCTTGTATAGGTCCTTGCACAGACTTGCACCAAAATCATGTCAAAGAACATATGTTTAGACCAACTTCATGGAAAATCCTGTGTTCTTGAGCTTATTTTAGTTCTTACAATTTTGCACCTATATAACTATAGCTCTTACTGTATTCTTATCATCATCAACCTTTTATGGTAAAGAGTTGCCTTTCCTATGAGCATTTGGAAGGAGTGGTCAAACACCAAAATCAAACTTTTTAAGGACTACACTATACATCTAAATTCTATTATATAAAGCCCCAAATGTTTTACCTTCTAAATTAAAATGTATTTCTTTATAGGTGCAAAGTTATAAGATGTTTAGAAGAGAATTTCCATCAGATCTTCCAGGGAATGTGGTCAGGGGTCTTACACAGGCCCAGGGCTGAGTTCTTTGTTCACTCAGCCAGACACCACTTGGTGAGTGATGGGAGAGGAAAGGAAGGAGACAGCCAAGCTCTGACAAAACCTTTTCCTAATAGAATAACCGAAAGCCTGGGTAGGGGTTGATGTATAACGTTCCATGGTTTAATGTGTATGGTTTGGAGAAAGTACAAGAAAAACATTATAATTCCACGTATAAGAAGGTAGTTACCCATTTGCAAGTTCCAGTTATGTGTGTAAACCGGAAATATAAAATACCAAACCTTTTAGGAAATAAAAACAAAAAAGTGGATTTAACTTCAATTATTGTGTACTTGAGGTCGGCTTTGGATATGGATTTTCTAAAAAGTGATGTTTTATTGTTTATCATCTAATGGCTGTAAACTGTAGTACTAGAATAAAAAAAAAGTGGAAAATCAGCTTTTCCTCTGCCTGGTTCACCTTCATCTTGCTTTTCTTTAGAATTTATTTCTTCTCCATCTTTATTCCCCCATAAGTTCTTTCCTGTGTCCTTCGATTTTTTTTTTTCCCCCTCTCTCGGTCTTTCTACATCTTCCTTGGGTTATTTTATTTTGTGTTGTGAACTTGGTCTTCCTCCCCACCATGGCTTTTGTTTTTTATCACAAGTTCATGTGGCTCACATCCAGATTGCGCCAGGCTGAGCGAGGCCGCCAGTCTGCCGAGTTGGACAACCGGCTCTTCAAACAGGATTTCGGAGACAAGATCAACAGTCTGCAGCTGGAGGTGGAGGAGCTCACCAGGCAGCGGACAGGAAAGAAAGAAGATTTCAAAACAACAGACATCCCAGGGAGGTTCTCAGAAGCCAGAACCCAAGATGGTAATATTTGCTATTCCTTGTTAATTTATTAATTTGAATTTGAATTTTAGGGCGGTTTTCCGGGCCTGTCCATGTTCTTTCATGGATCACATACTCGCTATGGCCTCGAGCACGTAGACAGCAACTAGTGATGGATGAAAGCCTGATTCTGAGTCTGCCTCTAGGACACTCTTTCTAACGGGATTTCATTTGGAAGGGGGAGTTTAATAATCATAACTTCCAGTGACACTTTTTCCCTTTAAATTTTTTAGTAAGATTATTGTGATATCTTAACAAAAATATGTTTTCTGGATTCTGCTAATACTTTTAATAATATGATACTGGCCGGGCCGGTGGCTCACGCCTGTAATCCTAGCACTCGGGAGGCGAGGCAGCGGATTGCTCCAGGTCAGGAGTTCAAAACCAGCCTGAGCAAGAGTGAGACCCTCGTCTCTACTATAAACAGAAAGAAATTAATTGGCCAGCTAATATATATAGAAAAAATTAGCTGGGCATGGTGGCATATGCCTGTGGTCCCAGCTACTCAGGAGGCTGAGGCAGAAGGATTGCTTGAGCCCAGGAGTTTGAGGTTGCTGTGAGCTAGGCTGACGCC